GACCCCCCCCCGCCTCTCCCTCGCCTCCCCTGGCCTCCCCTGGCCTCTCCTGGCCTCCCCCCCTCTCGCCTCCCCTCGGCTCCCCTCGCCTCCGCTCGCCTCCCCTCGCCCTCTGGTCTTCCCTCCCTTGCCCCCACCCCCTCCCACCGCCGTCTCCTCCTACAGTGAAGCACTATGGATACTACCCTCTCCTCTCCCCTGATTCCGTCCAAGATATGTCCTGCCCTCTCCGCGCATTGCTTTACGTACAGGGCTTCAAACAAGCAAGCTTGTACTGTTTTATCAAAAGCACAGCATGTCAAACCGTGATTTTCTAGTGATGTTTGCAATCCTGTCGTTTTCGGTCCTTCCAATGGTGCTCTCGCTTCAGCGCTGGCCTCATTTTAGGATCGGCGCTTTGCTTCCATCGTTCAGAATGGCACTCTCATCCAAGTGCGGGCCTCTTTCGTGGATCCGAGTCTTTCCTCATCGTTGTCGCCCTCCTCTTCCCCTCCGTTTCCACTGGTCCTCCCGCCACTCCCGCTCCTCATACTCTAGCTCTGGCTGCTGCTGCTGCTCCTGCTGCTGTTCGTCCTCGTCCTCTTCCTTCCTCATCCTTCTCTTTTTTCCTCCTGCTCATCCCCCTGCTCATCCGCCACCTCCAATGCACGCAGGTTCCCATTTCCGATTGCGCATAACACGACAAAAAGGGGTATTTTGGGGAGCGCACCCAGCTTGTTTCCTCCCCCTCTTCCCTCTCCCCCTTCTTCTCCTCCTCCTCCTCCTCCTCCTCCTTCTCCTCCTCCTCCTCCTCCTCTTCCTCCTCCTCCTCCCCCTCCTCCTATCTCGGAGAGCTGGTTCTGAGGTATCGTGCGCTCACCGATGCAGTTGTCTTTCGTCGTGTCGGAGTGGCCCCGTCGGGGGTGGGGTGGATCTGAGGGTGCGCAGGCTGCAGCAGCACCAGCGTTGGATCCGCAGCCCAGATCGATTCACGGGAATTCTAGACGCTTCGCGTATCCCCACCATCCGTAGCCCTGGCTCAAGCCGTCTTGTGGGCCTGCCCTCTCCGGGGCAGTCTCCCACCGCTCAAGGGGGCGCCCGGACGCTGCGCCGCGGGCCGCGGGCCTGGGTCCCTTCTGGCTGCCAGGGCGCGCCGTCATTGCTGCCGCAGCGCGGGCCTCAGCTGCACCCCCCCACACAGCTCACAGTGGCATGGAGGGCGGGGAGATGGACCGATCGGTGCATTCTGAGGGAGGTGGGGACCACACAGTGCGTGGCATGGGAGCCCAGGCACTGGGCACGGTCGAAAACCCCTGGGACCCCATTCAGATCCAGGCTCCCCACAGGCAGCAGCCCCCCACCATCAGCGGGCCAGACCAGGACCCAACCCCAGTTGAGTCCAGGATGCCCCCCGCAGCGCCACATAGTGTCCCTGAACCAACACAGACGCGCTGCTCCTCGGGATGCGATGGCAATCCAGACGGGGACGAGACGAGGCGACAGACCCCCAGAGAGGCCCTCAACTCACCCCAGACGAGGCCTATTGAGGGAAGAGAAGGCGGCGGACCAGACGAGGACTACAGAAAAGGGGAGACGACCTTATAGGTTCGGGGGGATAGGGGACTGACTCCCGCCATCCCCACTCCAGACCCCATCACGATCCCTGTCCCTCACGCGCCGCCTTCCTCCCCCCGCCCCAGGATCCTCTACCTCCGGCAGTAGGGGCCATCCATCCCTTAGAGGCGGGCAGCGGCGGTCCAGAGGGACCCCGAGGAGCAGCAGATGTGGTGGACCCCAGGGCGGGCCACGAGGAGACACAGCAACACACATCTGGCGAGGACGGCATCCACCCCCTCGAGGAGCAGATGCCCAGATCCCCCCAGACCGTGGCTAGCCACACCCCCGAGGTAAATGCCGGCACTGGAGATGGAGGCACCCACCGACAAACAGAGATTTCAGCGGCGATCAGCTGCGACCCCCGCACAAATTAAAGAGATAACCTAGCGGCGATCAGCTGCGACCCCCGTGACAATGAAAGAAAGTATTTAGCGGCGATCAGCTGCGACCCCCTAGCACCCGCAACTCAGGACCAGTGCGAGCAACCCACTGGGGGAGACACTTCGGGGGGCCTCGAGGCCTACGAGAGCGTGCATCCCAGGACCGCGGTCGGACAGGGCCCCGACAGCTCTGGGGAGGCTCTCTCCGCCCCCCCCCCCTTCCCCGCGTGCTCCTCACTTGGCTCACTTCCCTTCTTCCCCCCCCCTGGCAGGTGCGGGCGCGGTGCGCGCCCCCAACGAGGACTGCGCCATTTCCCCCGCGCTTCCCTTCCACCCGATCGGGCCGGAAGGCCCGCGGCAGCCCCAGGAGGAGATCGGGCGGGGGATGCTTCCAGAGGGGGGTGAGCCCAGTGGAAGTACGCCCGACAATGGCGCAGACAGCGCCAGGCGGGACCCCAGCGTGATCGATGCCAGATCGGATCCTGCCACCCGAGAATGCCCGATCGACCCTTCTCCAGGCCTCCCCTCTCCACTACCATCAGGCTCAAGCCGACGCGGGCAAGATGGCCATAGCCACTGTCCTTCTCCCGACGATCCCGGACTCTGGCAGAAGTACCCAGACAGCTCAGAAGGGGAGCACTCACCCGCTAGGCGGGCAACCCCCAGATACCGCTACAGCACCGGTTTCGATAGGCTCCACTACCACCCCCGGCGATGCGGAAGCCGAGAGGCAGACGGGCCCTACCTGGGCCCAAGGGTCGCAGACCCGAGGGGCACCAAACGAGGAGGCGCTCTCGCGGCGCTCGTGGCTCACCACGAACCTCGGGCGGGTCCGTGGAGGGATCTACCCAGGAGAGCGGTGCGCGACCAAACGATGCGTCAGGGCCTCGAGAACCTGATAAGCTTCTGCTGGAACCGCCACCTTCCCAGGCACTCTGGAGTCCTTCCAGAGCCCGTTCAACGGAGGGCGTGCACAATCCATTCAGGGCCTCCCCTGAGCGGAGGGCTCGGCCCGAGCAGGGACCCCCCCGCCACTACTACGCCGTCGGCCCAGCGCTGGCCCAGCTCGACCTCTCCTGGCTCGCCTGGTCCATAACAGGCTCCGACCACGAGGCGAGGCTGGGAGGGTCGGACCAGACCCAGTACAGGTGCTGGCCTTCCGTTACGCGAGCCTGACCCAGGACCCCGATATCGACGTGGAGAGATTGGATTACGACAACCCAAGCGATGCAGAACTACACGCGGCCCATCTGGAGTACGATGCCCTCCACTACGCGGCTCTATGCACGGACATCGGGATGGGAGAACCGACTGGCGACCTCCTCCCAGACTCCGTGCTCGGACTCTCAAGATGGCGACGCGACGCGGCCCCCGACTCGAGGGACATGGAAACGGACTTCGAACGCAGGTTCAAGATATGCCGTTACCTCATCCACGAGCATCGCCAGAACCGGGTACACTTCCCAGACCACAGGGAGGTCAGGAATTGGGCGGTGGACAGAGGGCAATGGATCGAGGCGGGCGACGACGTCCTGTCGATAGGGCAGCACGGTACAGGACCCAACGGCTGGGCAGCCCCTGCCATGCCAGGCGCAGGGCCGCGCTCCTCGGGCATTCCAGGAGTCATATTCGAGGGCAACGACGCACCCGAGGAGCCCTGGCCCCAAAACAACACGTCCCACATGGTAATGTTCGGAGACTTCTTCCACCCCTCCACCAGATGCGGGTATTGTGGCTGCTGGCTTGCACGGGCCCCCCGAGGCCCCATGTGTATCGTCTGCCGCAGGCTAGCCCCACCATGGTGTCTAGCGGTAGACCAGGGCACCCCCGTGACGCATTGGGCGCGCAGCTCTCCTACCAGCTGGCCAGAGTAGGAGCGCGATGCGCCCCCATAACCAGCCACATTTGCTCCCCAGACCTCCTACCGGACCAGCTACTCCCCAACATGGCTAATCTCGGAACTTCTCGCGGCATGGCGTCACATGACGGACAGCCCGAGCGAGACATGGCACCCAACTCCCGACAGGGAGGAATCAAGCCTCGGGGATGAGCCGATGCTCAGAACCACAGTGAGCGCCCTTGCCAGACTCTGTAGCGCCCCGCAGGGATGGGCCCTCGAGGCTGTGGCGCAGATGCGTGACCGCATCAGGGGGGGGCCCCCCAGCCGTCAACTGCGCGATTGGGTCCCCGGAAGCCTCGCCCAGCCCCCTCGCATAGCGGTGCCAACCCGGTTTCTCGACCCTGCAAGCGCAGGGACCAACGCGGAAGGCCTAAGGATGAGATTTCGACTGAGCCTCAACAACATCACCGCAGAAGATGCCGACTGGCTCCGAGGCGAGATAGGAGGGAGCTTCCTCGACCAAACACTACGGGCTGTCGAGGTCGCCGCCGACGAGCAACCGCCCGGGGCGTAGCGGCAACGGAAGTAGCCTGCGCTGCCCTCATTGCCAACGCCAGGAGGGAAGGAGCCGCTGCAACAGCCGCTGCAACAGCCGCTGCAACAGCCGCTGCAACAGCCGCTGCAACAGCCGCTGCAACAGCCGCCGCAACAGCCGCTGCAACAGCCGCTGCAACAGCCGCTGCAACAGCCGCCGCAACAGCCGCTGCAACAGCCGCTGCAACAGCCGCTGCAACAGCCGCCGCAACAGCCGCCGCAACAGCCGCTGCAACAGCCGCTGCAACAGCCGCTGCGACAGCCGCTGCGACAGCCGCTGCAGTAGTAGAGCACACCCAGCTTTCCTGTAGCGCAAGCATCTCGGCTCAAGGCATTTCTTGCAGCGCCTGCAGGCTGCCATGCCAGAGATGGGGCGCAAGGGCAAGGGCAAAGGGCGCCAGGTCAGACCAGCCAGATCTGGGCTAGCTGTAGTACCCCCCCCCCCCCCCCCCCCCCCCCCTCCCCCCCCCCCCCTCCGACCCCCCCCCCCCCCCCACCCCCCCCCCCCCCCCACCCGCCCCACCCACCCCCCCCCCCCCCCCGCCCCCACCCCCCCCCCCCCACCCCCCCCCCCCCCCCATGTCTGATAA